TAATTATAACATGACGTGTTTGAGTTAATTTGCCTACTTAATATCGCACGTCCTAAAAAAAAATAAAAAAACGTCCTGGGATGTGACTATCGCGCATATCGCGATTATCGTCACGACACGATATATCATGCAATGAACAATATAAACTCTGATAGGAGGATTCATTGCTTGGCTCCTGCATATTTTTAAGTTAAGTTAATTGTACCTAATAAAGTGGCAGCAGTGTGTACATACATTCTGCCTGTACAATTAGAAAACAACTACTCTGAACAACCCTTAAGTGTCGCTTTGCACACTTCTTTATCTTTTTAATGCAGAAAGAAATATATAATAACCTTTTGTTTACAATAATCACACAGAGGACAGATACACATTTTTTTAAACAAACAATAGAAATGTCTTCATTGATGACTATTAAGAGACTAAAGAAAATAAAAGGGTCTTTAGACGGGTGCAGTGGGGAAATCTGATCTATTATTCGAGAGTTTTTCCACATTTATCTTGACATTGGGAATGCTAAAAGTAAAAAAAAAAGGCAACAAATATGACCGTCAACATGACTGGACCATGACTAACTTGGGAAATGCAGCAAATGTGAACGTTTTTAAATCCCCCAGAGTTGAGATATTTGTTGTTTTAGGCTTTAGAGAAGTTATGCACTTATTGTAAGTCGCTTTGGATAAAAGCGTCAGCTAAATGCAATGTAATGTAATGTAATTTGCTTGTTTTCCATTTAAAAGAAAAAAAAAGCATTCTGACGTTTAAAAGCCCCATTTTGGCAAGTGGTGCAGCCTGAGAAGTATGCTTCATGTTTTCCCTGAACATTAAAATATGGATTCAATTTATATGCCCTGGAAGTCTGGATGTATTGTCTGAACATAACTCAATATGATTTCTCGTGTTTACATGTACCGGGTTACTTATTACAAGGGATTTGGGGCTTTTTGAGCATAGCCCAGAGCCTTTGGAGATAATAATGGGTAAATGAACAAGCCAAGTATAACCAGGGAACTTTTAGATCCACACACACTAGATCAGAGAACAAACTGTCTGGCCTCACCTCCAGCTCAGGACTGGTTCCTCAGAAAACATAATTTCTAGTGTTTTTGGGTCAGAAATACAATCTTCCTTTGTTCAATTGGTTTTCTTGAACTCGTACAAGACACTTTTCAGTTTAGTAATATAGTGAGCAGAGTTGGGAAGTAGTGGAGTACAAATACTTTGTTACTGTACTAAGTACATTTCTCTGGTATCAGTACTTTACTCCACTACTTATTTTTCTGACAACTTTTTATTTCTACTTCTTACATGTTGAACCCAAATACCTGTACTTTCTACTTCTTACATGTTGAACACAAATACCTGTGCTTTCTACTTCTTACATTTTGAACACAAATACCTGTACTTTCTACTTCTTACATTTTGAACCCAAATACCTGTACTTTCTACTTCTTACATTTTGAACCCAAATACCTGTACTTTCTACTTCTCACATTTTCCAAACAGGCTGGTTCCTTTAGTTTGAATGTGTGTTTGGTGGCGTGATCATTATTATTTAGAGTCATTGCGTGCCTATTGATTTGAACACGATCCGTGTATCCATCATTTCCTGGTCTTCTCTAAAGAAGAGGGACCAATGAAAACGTTGTCATGTTGCCGTTGTTCAGCATGGAAACATTCATTAGCTAACAATGACATTATTGTTCTATTAATATAAAGGGAGGTCAGGTACTCTTTAAAACAGCTGCTAGTTATGGGTTCTTTTTACTGAAGTACATTTCAAAGCCCTCTTTACTTTGACTTGAGTAAAGAAGTTTAGTCAGTACTTCTACTTTTACCAGAGTATTTTTAAACACGAGTATCTGTACTTCTACTTGAGTAAAGGATGTGTGTCATGAAACCTCCGGTGGTTGATGACTTACATAAAACAAGTGTTTGAAAAACGTCCTTTTCATCCCCATTATTTTCCTTGGTGGCCCCTCCCTTCAGTCATAACCAACACTCAGTTGAAGTCCATCAGCTTTACCCTTCAGCTATGAGCGTGACTTCTACATGGAGGCGGGACATCTACAGCAGTAGGGCTCCATCTGATTGGCCAGATATATAAGATAAGATAAGACTTTATTTATCCCGTGCCAGTTACAAATATACAATAATCACAGCAGCATAATACTAAAACTGTACACCAACAGTTCAATAAAAAGAGCAATTAGATAGTAACATAGACGGTCAAATAATTAACGTAAAAAAACGGTACAGTGACGAGGTATACAGTATATGATATATAAATATACTTAGATTTATCGCACTTCGAGGAACCCTTCCTATACGTATCGTAAATGTTGATATTGCGATAATGAAAGAGTTATTTCTGAATAACAATCTTTTAAAATATGATCTTTTACCACTAAAAAAATGAACACACTTTTTGAAATAACTCCCTTTTTTTCTATCTTCTCCTATTCTGCTCAGTTTTGTTGAGTTTCTCTGTTGTGTTGGTTGTCTGGGTGACTGTGAGTCCTCCTGTTCTCTGGCGTCAGCTGACCGAGCTGCTGTTAACAGTTTAACCCTCGGGGTATCATGACTGACCACACCACTGATCACACCACTCATCACACCACTGGTTGTAGTGTTCCCAGTTTTCTACAAATGAGCACAGATCAATAACGTTGAAGCTCGTCTCACCCCTGTCCTTTCAACGTTGGGAGGCTTCATAAAAGACATGACTGATTTATGCTAAATGTGTAAGAGCAACCAAAGAAAGGAAACATCGATCAGAGTGCTGTCATGTGCCAAAACTTCCTCACCAATGAAGGAAAGCTCATTGAATTAGGTCTATAAAAACGACCTAATTCACTTGATTAACTTTTTTCGCGAAAGTCATCATTGTGACGTTTTGAATTTGTTATATTTATTGATTTTTATTTTATTAAAGTCTGCTTTATGTTCATTAGACATTTAAACCAGATGCATTTTAATGAAATCAAACCATTTATTTAGCAAACAAAACAAAACGGCTCCCATTAAAGTTTAGCAGCGTAAAAGCATCTTCTACCATTTGACCATATTCATTATATCACCATTGCTTCACTAGTTCTACATTGTTTAGGCATCCCTCACGCCGCGGATGGTAGAGCTTATGGGAAATGGAGTCTGTTATTCCTTGGTTTTACTTCAGCTGTCTATTTGGACTGGCTTTGCGTACATATGTAGCTCGGTGAGAGTTGGTTTTGGTTCAAAATCTAACTCTAATATGCCTGAAATATCTGATTTATCATCTCTGTGAACTTGTATTTACTATTTTACTTCTTTCTCTTCTAGACAATTATACAATTCTGCTATTTATAATAGGAATACGATCTAGCCTTAAAGCCAGTTGGACATTGTGAAGCTGACCGTTGAGCGGCCCGACCAAGCAAGGAGGCAGAGGCAGAACGTCCAAAAATATAACCCGGTGTGGGCATTTATTAAACTTGAGCACAGGACACAGCCTCAAACCTGCTGTTCCCGTGAGCACAGTCACCAGCCACAAGGATCTCACACCACACTACCAGCCCCTAACAGACAGGGACACAGAGCCTAAATACACACACACACTAATCAGCAATTAGACACTGGTGGGGGGGGGAGACAACACAGGGCACCAGGTGCACACAATCACCAGCAACAGACATGGGGAAAGGGGAACCCTTTTCAACATAAAACCAGCAAACAGAGACAGACAACCTAAAACACATACAGATGCACACACTACATACATTTCGCCACCAACAAAGCTACACAATTCGTAACGGAGGCCGAGATCTATGGCCCCAAAGATCACCTCCGTTACAGACATAATGGCCAAACTGTGGAATATTCATTTCCGGGTTTGTCATGTTATGATATTGGGCCTCCTTTGACTTCAATTGGAAATTATCAGAATATCAGCGACTAATTGTTTTTGAAGTAATCAACTTGCCAATACTGAATAGCCCTTTTTATTTAAAAGCTCCTTAAAGTTGCAAAATGCACTTAAAGTCTAATCCAGAGGTGGTTTATAGATAACTGGGAGGCAGGGTTAATGACAAATGTACTTTTTAAGGGTCCATGGATACGGAAAGTAATCTCATAATTCTGCTAATTTTAAGGTCCATGCGCCACCAAGCAACTTTCGTAGAAAATCACCCGGCCCCGCCTCCAACACTATCTAGTTCTCTCTCTATATGCGTGATAACTAAGACCATGTTTGCTTCAGTGTGGTTGTTTGGTGAACAGTGTGATTGGTTCTCATCGTACTGACGTACAGTGAGGTTATTGTGAGCAGATCAGAGCTCCTGGTTAATCACTGTCATCCCTGTAATAAAGCTCGGTGTTATATCTGCTTCCTCTCAGCTGAGTGAATTAGAGTCTTGTGATCCTCTTTCTAAAAATACCTCCTCTAGCTTTGAGGCAAACAGACCCCAGACTACAACTCAATAGAAACATGTGAAAAGAAATCATGGAAATCAAATGTTTTGAAATTCATTTCTTGATCATGGTCCTGCTCCCCAGATGATGAACCCTTTTAACATTTACTACTGGTATGGCTCTAAGAATATCATGGGGCAGTGTTTGTTTTTCAAGCGTTTATTTTGGGGGTGAAGTATTCCTTTTAATAAACTTAGTACATTTTCTACTGCTTTCCCATACTCTGACACACACACACACACACACACACACACACACACACACACACACACACACACACACCGACAACACACACATCACACACACACACACACACACACACACACCAACACACACTCACAGTCTGCCCTCCCTAATCAAACTGTGTATGTGTTTCTTTCTATCTCCATATGGCTAGTTAACCCCCTATCAACCTCACATGTTTCCTATTAGTATCATTATATGCACACACTCACACAGAATGCCTACATTACGCAGGATGTATTCTAACTTCAGCTAAGCCTTTCTGAGTGTCTCTGTCCGTTAACATCTCCTCCGTCTGTTCCCCACAGGTTTATTGCGGGCATCAATATGACTGATGGGGATTATGACTACCTTATAAAGCTCCTTGCCCTGGGGGACTCCGGCGTGGGGAAGACCACCTTCCTGTACCGATACACAGACAACAAGTTCAACCCAAAGTTCATCACCACAGTCGGCATCGACTTCAGGGAAAAGAGAGTGGTGAGTTCTATCATCTTATATTACTGGGATAGTCTTTACTGAACGCAGGGAAATGTGTATATCTTTCCGGTAGGTTTGAGAAGTTTCTAGTTTGAATCAACTTAAAACAGGAGTATGCAAGATATTCATGCTGGGTTACCATAGTTACTTTTCCCAGGCATATTTTTGGGCTGTACTTGAAAGAACAAACACAGGGTCAGGTCAGGTCTGCTGTTTTTCTCCTGAGCATCTGCTGAGCTGAGTCACGATCATTATATTAACTTGTACAGCGACAGACAGTCAGATCCACCTCCAGCCCAGGAAACATTAACGGGGGAAGATGGAGTGAGTTTCTAACGTCATGATTGCTGTCAAACACATGGAAAAATAAAGTAAATCATCATCAGGGTTGGGAGGGTTACTTAAGAGATGTATTCCCTTACAATCACTAGTTACCTGTAAAACAACTTAATCTGTAACTTAATCTAAGTATCAACATATAATAGTAACCTGATTACTTTCCGTTGCTTTTGGATTACCTCAAAATCAAATGCAATGCACATAAAGACAAGAGAAAATATGTTTTTTATTTAAGTGTATTATGTAAGACGGAACAATGTGACCTTAAAGAAGCAGAAACCAAGATATTTAGTATCAAACATACTCTAATACATCCAATAAAAGCAACACAGTATTTTGGTTTAATAATTAGGTGTACACATCATAACATTTAAAAAATATATATTTTAAATAAAGAAGAATGAGAGTAGCTAAATTAAAACCAAAAAGAAAAATTCCGGCACCTACATTTAATATATAGATTCTTATTTTTATATGTATTTTGACATCCTGTCTAGCCCTTTTCATAATCTTAATTAAAGTTATATACATGACCATACTGTTAACAAGGAGCATCAGACACACAGAACATACTGACCCTTTCCTTATAATAAAATTGAATTATTTTAATAGCTTATGCACATTGACAGTGAAATATAAAAGTGTCTTACTGGCATGAGTCCATTTTTGTGATTCCAACTGATTGTGATTTTGTGAGGAATAGCAGTACACAACACTGACATTACAAAGAATAATAAAAGAATATGAACAGTATTTTTGACAGATCTAGGCCCCATGTTTCGAGGCTTTATCCCAAGCGAAGATAGCCCTTTCCTGGCTGTAGCACCCTATTTTATGATCATATTTAAACAGATCTAGATGTACAGTAGTATCTTCTATTGTCAATCTGTAGCAAAAAAGCCGTGTTGATTCCTTGCTTCAAAAAGCTGTAATGGATGTCATTTCCCCAGCGTAACAACTAGTCAATGTTAGATCAATCAGCTCTAATTGAGATGAATCCAGTCTTTCCACAGCTGCTGTTATCTGTGAAGAAACAAACAGCCAGCAGAGGCTTTAACACTCAAAAGATCGACTGTGAATACCACTTTAAACTAGGGCTGTGCAATTAATCGTATTTTAATCGCAATTACGATTTTGGCCTGCCACAATTACGAAAACAACATAATCGAAAAAAACGATTATTTTGCTTTGCTAGGTTGTGACAGTGCAATACAACACATTTATTTTAGTCTAATTTATTTATCATATTTATATATGTTTAGTAGGTTGTTGAAGTGCCCTCCAAAAATATTTGTTGATCTTGTTTATTGGTATTCATTATTTTTGATATTATTTATTTAAATATAAATGTATCATTTATTTTATTTATTGGTTTTCAGTTGAATTATACGTTCAGGGTAATCAACAGTTAAAAAGATACTGTTCAAATTATTATTTTAATTTGTTTTAAAGTTCAATAAATGGATGTTTTCAAAGTCAATGAATAATTGTATTTAATAATCGTGATAACAATTATTGACCAAAAATAATCGTGATTATGATTTTTGCCATAATCGCACAGCCCTGCTTTAAACTGTCCCCGAGTGAAAACATTGACTTCTGTAGCTGGGATGTCATCAGGGTGAACACATTGAGATGTCTAAGTGTGAGTTATTTGAATCAGAGAGTGGGCGAGGCTCGCTTTGGAAAGATGTTTTTTGACTTTTCTGCCTTCGTTCTTCTGAAATACAGACAACGCTGTTTAAACCCCAGCGCTCCGGATGACTCACAGGATTGATAAGAGTTCCTCACTTGGTCTGTGTGCGTGTTAAGATCACACCTCGTGTCCAGGAGTCAAGAGTCAAACAGAAGCAGACATGTTGGATCACAGCTGTAGTGCCGTGATGTCAGAGGCTCCTCCTCAGGGTCTCTATGGAAGCTGAAGCTGAATGCTAAATGTGGAACAGTTTTTTTTTTGTTTAAATGGAGAGGAATTAAGAAGGTTTGACATTCAGGCTCTGCATTTAACTATACTTTTTACATGGCTCAGTTGAATTCTTTTTTCTTTGTGTTATGTATTTATTTCAACAAGGACCATGCATTATGGATGCATACCGGTATCCGGTATTACCAAAATACCGGTTACTGGTGGCTACGGTATACCGCACTGAAATTACATCCGGTTTTGATACTTAAAAAAAAAAGAAAGAAGACCATTATTCTATTATTTATTTGTTCTCTAGTCGAATCTCAGGTTTAACATTAATTATAACGGTGCTATAACGGTCTGTTTGCATTGACAAGATGTGCTATTCATGCCACACACCTGATGGCGGGTGTTATAAAAGATATTCCATAATCGGTTTTCTTCATATTTTTTATGTATTTTTCATTGTTTGTTCAGTACTACAATTGAATTTAATATTCATTTGACATGTTAACTATATCGTAAAGCGCTTCATTTGAGTAATTGTGGGATTATACATTTTCAAAGTATCACGATATGTATCGGTTGAGTATCGGTATCGTTCAGTGGTATCGGTATCGTAAAAAAGTCAACGATATGCATCCCTACCATGCATACTGTGAGGGAATATTTCTGTCTTTACTTCTAGATATTTAACCTGTCTGCCTGTTGACGTTTATCACCAACCCTGATGTCTGTTATCTCCTTTAAGGAATGTGCTGCTGCACTTAGTCTCAGTTTAATGACCGGTCAACTCTCGGTCAGCCTAAGAGTATCTCCAGTGTTCCCAGGTGTTTACGCACCATCTCCCAATATGTTGATTAACTCTCTGTAAACTAGTTAAAAGGTCTATCAGAGAGAGGCTGGTCAGAATTGATGTGGCAACCCACCCGTGCCGTCAGAACCTCTGGCTGCTCTGTGACTTGTGATAATAATTTTTGTTTGTGGTCAATTTGGACATTATAGAGATTGTTATATTTCGCTGCTAAGGAGAACTTACCATTGCTAAGGAGGATCAAGGGACTATGTGTAGTCATATCAATCCGCAGAGAAAAGTCTGGTTTATTGAATGTCAGCTGTGAAAAACATATCTTGTTTTCTCCATCAGTAAGCGCGTGGAATACTTTTTGAATATTCGTTGTTATATTTTTTGAGGGCACAACACTTTGGATTCCTGATGGCTAAACTGTACCGTGTTAAGAAAGAAAAATGGCCGCAAGAGAAGGAAAGAAGTTAGAACGATAGAGAAATCTACAGCAGAAAACACACAGGACGTAAACAGTAAAGGGAACACCAGAAGACAGACAGGAAATACCTCTAACAAGAACACTGTATGGGCTCTGGCTGTGTTTAAAAAAAAGGTGAACAGACTTGGACAGTTACAGTAAGCCTCGATCAGTGCTGCCGCCATTTTAATTTGCGTTTCTGTTGCCGCAGTTCCAGCGGATGCAATGCGATCAATTCATACAGAAAGTCATTTAAAATCCATGCTGTGAGTCAAATCGTTGGTTTCAAATTTCAAAAGCTTTTATTGTCATTGTACAGAATACAACGAGATTTATAGTCACTGCTCCAGCGAGTGCTTTAAAAACAGACATATTAAAACACAGATTAAAAGGTCTGACAGTTTCGACCAGCAAGTAGTGCACACAGCTTCGGATGGTCATGTAGATCAGGGGTTCCCAAATTGGGGGGGGTGGTCGCGAGATGATTACAAAATAAAAATGGAAACAGTCGACAACCTACTTCAATCCGATTGGGGAGTTTTTTCCTTAGACCTGAATGTGCAGATGTGGCATTAGTGCCCAAACTTTTTTTGTTTTTGTTTGCACTTTTATTGTCATTACATGTACTATGTAACAAAATGGTTTCTCTGCATTTGACCCATCCTAGTATTAGGAGCAGTATCCTTGGCATCGTAATCCAGCAATCCTTAGATTCAATAACAAACATGTCTCCCTTTTGAGGAATCGCTTTTGTCAGATGTACGTCTCAACAATTTCAAGTTGAAAGTCAGTTGTTACCTGGAAAACTGAACTAAAAGCACTTTAATTTTTTAAGTGTGATCCGTATCAACACAGCTTTCAAAGAGAGTGTCTCATCTGTGAGAATGAGAGGTGTGAATGACGCCCGAGGCTTCATGCTGAGACACCGAAACAACAACCAGCTGCAGCACACGAGAGTTCATCATTACAGTCAGAATACATCACCGTTAGTCAGACATGCTGAGAAACCAAATAACGAAGCAGTGAAGTTTGTTAAAGCCCCTAGAGCTATGAGACACACCATTTATTTAGTTTTCTTTGCCACCATCTTGAATGTAAGAGGGCTAGGACGGAGAGATTGCTCTGTTTTCTGTTTGGGATTACCAGGAGAGGTAATAGTGATATATGTTGTTGGTGTTGCCTGCAACCCAAAGGCATTGAAAGTAGTTGCTGCCATTTCAATGTTTAACACAGTTCCTATCACTTTATTTCTTCAACAATGCGCCAGTATATCTGGTCCTACTTCTTCAAACTAATGCCTGCAATAGATCCTACCTTCCTAAGTGTTCAAACACTTTCTCTATATACATTTTTGTGTTAATTGTATCTGATAAATGTAACTAAAGTAGTTTTTTTTATGACCCCTCAGGTGTACACAGCGGCCAATCCCAATGCGACGACAACAGGGAAAACCTTCAAGGTTCACCTTCAGCTATGGGACACAGCTGGGCAGGAGAGGTGGGTTGATTGTCTTTCCTTACATCATGCCAATTACAGTTTCAATGACTTGTTCACAGTGGTGTTTACCAATGTGGCTACAGATTTATATATATATATATATATATATATATATATATATATATACACACACACATGCACACAACTAGTGGAAAGGACGAAACTAAATGCTCCAAAAGAAAAAAAAAGAATTCCTCAAGCTTGGACAGCCTGAATAATTAACTGAGCACAAGTCAAGACTGCTGCTCATCTTCAGCCATTTCTTCATGTTCAACATCTAACAAACCCTTTGTGACTGCCTTCCAAAGCTCAAACACAAATATAGGCATAAGAACTGGACCTTTTAATTATTTTGTTGGTGTGGCTGTACACCAAAGCAAACATTATCTTACATAAGACTATACATGTGGAAGCTGAGTTGAAGTATTTCACTGTGAAGTACTCACAGTTCCAGTCTGCAACCAGTCTATGAGAAGTTGTGCTGTTCCTGCAGGCAGCTGTGCTCTCAGGGTGTCTCTCTCCTCCTGGTTTTGTTGGAGCTCCAAGGCAAGTTTGAGCTCCTCAGCTAACTGAAGGGGAGTGCCACTGACGGGGGAACCCTGCTCATACATCCTGTTAGAAAACTCCACCGCTGCTGCTTTGGAACCTGGAGAGTGTGTGAAGCAGAGAGTTGAGAACAGACTATTACTTAGCATAAAACTGAAATATTCTTGCAAAACAAAACTGATCTGCTAGGTGTATTACCAGCCATTGCGCACCCTGTATGGAGCTTTGAAAACTCTTTATTTTCCTGTTCAACCTACAATATTATGAATCCAACATGTTGTGCTCTCGACAAATCAAAGAAATCTGGAGATTGATATGACTGCACATGGACCCTTGATCAGTGTCCTCAGCAACATCAGTAACTATCCTGCTCAAAAACATATAGCCTAAAATTATATAATTATTATTATTCCTACTATTATGGACCTTTTGCCCCACAATATAAAATAATGAAATGTAAGATATAGAAGGTGATGAACAGGTACACAATTTTTTTATGAAGTTAAACGCATTCACTCTGCTAATAGCTCAGATAATCTACCAGTAATAAACCAATAACCTTCTAATTTAAAGGTGGGGTAGGTAAGTTTGAGAAACCGGCTCGAGTGCGCTAGAATTTGAAATTACACAACCGGAAAACATCTGCCACTTCCTTACAGAGCCCCTCCTCCAACACACACGAACGCGCACATGACCAATGAGGGCACGAGATAAGTTTGTGCACAGACGGAAGGCTGACAGGCAGGTAGGCCATCCAGTTATTTTAGCCGGGCCGGCTAAAATGATTGGTCATGCTTTTTACAGTACTACAGCTTTACTATAAACTGCTCAAATCATTACAAAAATATTCTATAAAATAAATACATTTCATCAAATGAGAACAGGAGGAAGAAGCACACAACAGGAGTATCACAACTCTAAGTCAGCATGGTGCGTATTACTATATATTTTTTGATGTGATTGTATACTTTTTAAAATCTCTAGTATGGAATAACATTGTAGTGGTAGTTTTAGCCCCACCCTAGTAATTGGAGCACAATGTTGGAGCCTAGAAGCCTCTCTGGTGACACTGCAGGCTTTGACTTAGTTTGAATGAGAATCCTCCTGAGCACAGATATGGGTTGCCGGGATAGGTCAATATGATTGTAAAGAATGGTGTTGGTTGTTGGACCTGAGCATGTGATATCCTGTGTCTTCCACTCATCAACTAAAGATAATACAGATGATACATGATTGACAAAATCCAAAAATGCAGCAGATTTTCCAGAAACTACCATGGGAGTCAATAGAGTGGTGCAGTGACGAGTCCTAAAACCCGGAAGGCGATCAGTGTACGACGCTCCGTCGGGACTCGTCATTCCGTCCTGTAGTAACGGTCCCATACCTCGGATGAGTTCCATTCGCTCAACAGAAGAGCGAGGGACGCGTATATTCTCACGCACGGTCCCTCACTCGCATAAAAACATGCCGTCTGGGCCCTTTAATTTGATGCGCTCTCAAGGAAGCTGTTTTTTTCGTTACCTAACTAGTAGGTATCCTAAACCTTTTATGACGTCAGCTTATCTATTCAAGACACCTTTCTTGTTTGGACAAACATATTTACGGCTGCAAAACAAGTCGGCCTATTCATAGGCTGTACAGATGGCATAAAATAGTAAAAAAAATAGTATTTAGTCGGTCTTCGGTTTTAGTCCGATTGCACTACGATATTCTGCTGATGTCGGCTCGCTCATGGTCGTCCCCCAGCGCGTGCTGAAGTTGCGGGGGTCGGCTTGAATTCGTGCAGCGTATACATTTTCTTCATGTTCTAAGTTTTATTTCAAATTGTTCAACTTCCGAACAAGCAATTTGTCAAACGTTATCCGTGGGACCATGAACGGAAAGTTCGCTACTTGTCCCGTTTGTTTGATATTCGACGCCTCACGAATTGCACAGCACAGCTGTCTGCACGTTGCGAGGAGCTGTTCGTAAGACGTCGAGGATAAGTCGGTGAACCGGAAGTTGTTGGTAGCATAAAAAGTCTGTCCCGATTTGAGATTCTGTTGAGTGGTCACTACTTTGTTGACGACTACATCAAAATTGACAGCATCTTGTTTTGTCGCGCACTAGGCAGAGAATTTAAACACGACAGTTGTTGTCTGGAATAAGGTCGATAAAGCGTTATTAGGGATACCCTTTAGGGTACTTGAGACTCCGCTGCTCCCTTGGCCTTTTCCGCCACAATTGTACNTATATATATACACACAGCATTGATAGTCAACCATGTCTATGCTGTCCTTTCTTGCAATACACATGGTAAATAATCTTCTTCTAAAAAGAATAGATATGTCCAGAGTTCACTGTGTCCAAGAGGGACATCTAATCATGTGCCCAATGGCTTAATGAAGGATATAATAACCCATTGGGTTACGATTCCTTTTTTTCTCAGTTTCGTAGCAGTAATGTTGGCCACTAGAGCAACTCCATAGACCCCCATGATAACCCAAATGACCTTACATCAGAAATAAACATGTTTACAGCCTTATACGAAAAAACTGTTTGGTCTGTGAGGGTAATTTCCCCAATATTTACTATAGGAGAGAAACACTAACTCTGGTTCTATCTACAACAATACAAGATTTTAACATCTATTAACGAGCAAATCTTATCATCCAATCACAGAGATGGTAGCTGTAATGCTTTAACTTTGATTGACTTAAAGAAGCCCTATCAATTTTTAGGTTTTTTTTTAATTTCCTGTAATGTGTTATATAGGTTTTTGTCGAGAGGGAGTTTCTTTCCCACACACACCCCCATGTATATATAAAAATATAAACCCGGAAATGAGCATAATATGTATTTTATTAATTAAAATGCACAAATGGTAGATATTGAGTGCTTCCGTTTGTATCAACAGCAGTTGGTAATTTATGCTTCTGGGTGTGACACCACCAGCGATAATAACTAATATGTAAATATGGCTTACTACTGAGCAAATATTTGACACGTAAACAATCAGGATCAAGCAGCCGACATCAGGGCGGTTCCAGTCTGACAAACTGGTCACAAAGGGTGAATAATGACTGGGTGCTCCGTCAAAAGATCCGTTTATGAAAATAAGAATTTGTTCTCTGAAGAAATAAAGTTAGGATTATGTAACTGACAGTGAGTCATCCTGCAATGATGAGTCATCAGGCCTTTATAAACAGATTAAACAAATCGAGGCCAGTGGCAATTAAAGACCACACACATGATTGACATATGGTGTGTGTGTGCATACAAGGAGGCACACACACAATGATAGTGTGATGAGACAGGCTCGAATTTCAGCAATGAGATTTATTACCTTTGTCAAAACTGGATCTGCTTTTACTGAGATGTTGCATTGAAGTGAAGGGCATATTCACCGAGCCCAAAATAACATACACACAACAAAACTCTATTCTGAAATGTTGTGGTCTCTTCACACAGTCACATTTGTCTGAGTTGGCCTATAGCATTGTTGGAGAAACTGCACCTTTTAGGCATTTCAGCTCTGACTTCAAATCTTAGCTGCCATGTCCTTTGTTTGATTCGCTATACGTCTCTTACAGATTCCGCAGCCTGACGACGGCGTTCTTCAGGGACGCCATGGGCTTCCTGCTGATGTTTGATCTCACCAGCCAGCAGAGTTTCCTCAATGTCAGAAACTGGATGAGTATGTGTCTCATATTGTCTTTACTTGTAACACAATCAATTTCAAAACTTTAACATTACTCTTTCGTGCCACTAGAGGTCATAACTCTTCAGGGGTCAGAAAAGTTTTAGTTATATTTGGTCATGGATGAAAGGAAGCCTGATGAAGGACATATGAAGAAAGCATAAAATAAACCAGCATTAAGCGGAACTATCTGTTTTCCCTTTTATACAAGTGTTGTTTAATGTTGTTTGTTTGTATTGTTTCCAGGCCAGCTACAGGCCAATGCGTACTGTGAGAATCCAGATATCGTGTTGATAGGAAACAAGGCGGACCTGGCGGACCAGCGGGAGGTTCAGGAGAAACAGGCCAAGGAGCTGGCTGATAAATACGGGTACGTTTGTTTGTTTGTCACATTCGGTATTTGGTGCAGGAGTTTTATTTGGAGCTATGATTACTACGAGTATTAAAGGTCACCTGTTATGCAAATTCCACTTTTTCATGTCTCTTCTACATCAACATGTGTCCCCTCTGTGTAAAGAGACTCTGAAAGTTTCAGGAACAAAGACTCTCTCTCTTTTTGTCCTGATCCATTTATATAAAAACCCGCCTGAAAATGAGCTGATCAGATTTTGGCCACTTTATGATGTCATAACGATGTGTTGGCTTGTGTAACTGTTAGCCAATCACCAACCAAGGAAACTCCCCCCCCCCCTTATCACCCGAATCTCCTCCTAGGGCACCATTGTGTTCTTTTGAACCAAATCTCTCTCAGAGGGGTGTGGGGAGGGGCTCCTTATTTTCATTTAAAGTAACAGACAGAGAATCAACTGCCCATGATGTTTCTTAGTGAACAGCCTACAGGATAGATGGAGCCCACTGCCCCTTCCATGTTCACTCGACTCTCCATCACCTCTTTATCGTCCGCCTGTGGTTAGAATCACATTCAGTCATTACCTGTCAGCCACCCTGTGATGTAGCTCCTGAGCTAAGTGCTTAATAATTGTATCCATATATTATTTTAAAGTCTCAGGTCGCCAGTGTCTGCCAGTGTTTTTCCCCAAACTTGGCCTAAATCATGAAGGAGTCTTTGCCTTGGCAGTTTTTGCCTTTTTAAATTGAATCATTTATGAAAAACGAACTCTTAGATTTGCTATAGAGATAATATTATTTTTTGTTGTATGTATATTTTATGCTTGTCTGCATCAAAAAATAAGTAGTTAACACACTAAAAAATATACACAGTCCTCATGTGATGCATCTCTTACTACAAAGGAATTGATCCTTCATTTATTTCTTATTTAAGAATGAAATAATAATAATAATGAAAAATTTTTTGTATTGTTACATCTAGCTAAGAGTGTAAACATTTCTGGTTTTGGCTCTAATACATTACAGCAACTCATTAAAGCAACTCCAACTCCCTGAACATATGTTGTATTTTATTATATTATTTTATAATTTATAATATTTGATTTGACTGTGATGCAGATTAACAGTGTCACACTTAAACAGGCGAGTCACATTTCTTTCTTTTTGGTCATTTCATCAAACAATTACTTTGTTGCAAACATACAGGCATGAAAAAATGGCTAATCCGGGGTTAATATTAGGATGTTTATGGGTTTGTACAAAGATAAAGGTGAACTGTGAGCAATATCTCAACAAATGACTTCCTGCTAGTTAAACATATTTTCCTGTGTAATTCCAACCAGCCAAGACCTTGGTCTTATGTTGCCTGGCAACAAAACAATCTTCAAGGAAGTCAGTGTTCTCTCTGGGGCGCAGTGGGAAAGTGTTCAGGAGCTAAATCAGTCAAATCAAATGGTCTAACTCAGGGGTGTCAAACTCAAGGCCCGGGGGCCAAATCCGGCCCGTGACTTCATTTTATGTGGCCCCACAAGAGCTTGCAAAGAACAATACGTTTATTATACGGTTACATGCCGATTTACAGAAGCACGTTGCCCATAAACTACATGTCCCACAATGCATCTCAAATTTGACTTTTTTTCCTCAGAATTTGACTTTTTTTCTTCTAAATATTCTTTTTTTCTTAGAATTTGTTTTTGTAAATGTTACTTTCCTTTCAAAATGTCACTGTAAAAAAAAAAAAAAATGCACTTATTTTTTTCAAAATATCCCTTATTTTTTTTCCAATTTCACTTATTTTTGGGGATTTTTACTTTTTTTCCAGAATTTGGCTTTTCTTTTTAAATCATTTTTTGACATTCTCACTGAAGAGACTTGCAATTATTTTCCCTACAGTACCTAGACTTCTGCTCCCTATCCGATAATAATCCAATGCAGAGGAAAATAATGCAATATAATACATTATTTTATTATGATATATTTATATATGTATTTTTATATAGTCTTAAAGTTTCAACCGGCCCTTTGAGTGCAGCCATAATGCTGATGTGGTCCGCGATGAAATTGAGTTTGACTCCCCTGGTCTAACTACTTTCTCAATGTTCATGACACATTTTCTGAGCAGATCCGAATATCAGGATACGCACATTTCTTCGCACTTCTACTTAGCAAAACTTATATAGCTTTTACATCACAATAACTTTCCCTTATCCCTATAACTTTTTCTGATATCTGTGGTATATAGTATATTGTAATAGGGAAAGGCCTAAGGGCAGAAGATAAGGAGTAAGATTTTAAATAACATTTTGGAAATAATGTGAAACTTTCAGTATACCCACATTTTTCCAAATTGGTATTAAACTTTTATTTCCAGAAAATGAATATCTTCCTCTATCCATTTCCCTCCCCCCCTGATGTCTGGGACTAATACTAAAGGTTTCCACTTCATTTTCACTTTATTCTCAGGGACAATTCATCAGCATGACATTTCAAGTCTCTACAAGATGATTTTAATAGAAATTACATATAATAAATCTGATGAAATTCATTAGAAAATTGTTCCTAAAGTACTTTTTGTCGCTCACAGGATCCCGTACTTTGAGACGAGTGCAGCCACAGGGGCGGAGGTGGACAAGGCGGTGATAAAGCTGTTGGACCTAGTCATGAAGAGGATGGAGCAGTGTGTCGACAAACCGCCCGCCGATCCAGCCAATGGGAACGGAGCCACGAAGCTCAGCGATGAGCAGCCCAACGAGAAGAAATGTGCATGCTAGATGAAGAAGGAAACGACCATTCAGCGCTCTTCTGTCGTCCGTCCTTTCTACTCACCACATCTGTCCTTCTTTTACCTTCTCCTTCCATCATCTTTGCATGTTTCTACCTCTTTTCCACTTTCGAAAACTAACCTTTAACCATATGCTGCTTCTTTTTTCTTTATCTTCCTTCTTTCTCCTCCCATACTGTTTGGCACTGTGGCAATGACACAACCCTGTCCCCCCCTAGTGGCTATTCAAGGAAACACACACAGTCTTAGTCTGAGGAAATGAAAACAGGAGGGGATCGTTTCATCACTGTCAGACACATAATGTGGCTCATTTACAGTAAAACATGCAATCTGGGACTTAAGCTGGTTTGAATAATTTAAATTGATCTCTAAAGGCAAAAAGGAGATGTTTACAACTTCAATTTGAACTTTTGATGCAACATCACTTTGTAACAGAGGTAAGCTGTTACCTGTTTAGGCTATCACTTGATGACAGCAGGCATGAAGAGCTTGACATCAGGCTGTGTGTCTGTGTAAATTAACGATCCCCTCCTGAAACCTTTCCTCCTGGACCAGGGAGAACAAATGTATTTCCCCCTCCTCCCCTGTTTCAAACACCGTTCATGCGATGCTGTACCTGTATGAGAGCCATGAATGGACATTGTTCAGTGTATCAAGCATATTTATCTGGTTCACGAATGCAAAACTTTGTTCCTAAAAATGTAGCCACACAGTTTTTAACCCAGTTGGCTACAGCGTCATGGTGGAGCTCTTTGACCCTGTGTTAGAGAGGCTGTTTCTGTTAGCCTTTACACAATAACTCAAATGACATGTTACTACAGCTGAATCTACAATGACCCTGCAGATACATACCAGGAGTATATTGAACTTTATTAGCAGTTTTCACAACTAAACTGTCATATTTTTCTCACATAAAATAAATACTTGTGTTGCCACTAAATAAAAAAGAGTTACCTTGGAACATGTGTTGCTATGAGCTAGCCGCTACATTTCCTCCTGTTTACACATCTGATTAGCAGCTTGTGTAGCTAGATAGCCACTAACTAGCTAACGTAGGGTATCAGTGCTCAGTAGTGATAGCAGTGGCTGCAAACGGTATGCTAATATTAACAAAAGCAGGCTAGGTGTGGAGTGAAGAGTATTTTGAGTGACTCATTTGGAAACATTTCGAGAAATGCATAGCCCACTTCTCGCTGTACCATTACAATTGTGCTATCAAGACTATCTTGCTAGCTAGGTTGTTGTGGCCGTTGAGTTGCTGCTTTTAGCTATTCTTGCTTTTCTTTGTCACTTTCTTACTTGACTGCCATATTATAAATTAGAAAAAGAATTGTAAATACGTTTACATTGCATTGATGACCTTTATTTCTTTGTCCCCATTATTATTTCCCAGCCTCACTTCAAACTGTACGGAACAACAGCGGCTAAAGCTAGCTTGTTGATGTTAGCATTTTGATCGCGCCTTTCTTTTCCAGATTACTCTTTATTTTGTCTTCAGATTAGTGTCAGACATGGCTGATTATTATTTGTATAGTATACCATCCGTACTGTACAATACATATGGGTACAGCAAAGCAATGGGAAGTGGACCAAAAAACATATATGTATATTATTAATAGGGGTATCCTATACAGTAGGCATATTGTTCCAAACTGATCTACTGCCTTGGCTTTTAAAGCTTTATTTCACTGTAGTGGAGCAGACTTTAATCTTTGTAGGAGTTTGAGATAACCTAACATCAGTTGCTCTGGGGATGCTAGGTCACCCTACTGCTATCACTAAAATGTAATAAACATTTTATGTCAATTAGTATGAATTCATCTTAAACACATGTAATGGATTTATGAGTGCAGAGCATGATTATCTATTTTAGATTATTATGGGAGTCAGGTGACTTCTGCTTTTCAGGGCAGCTGATTTCCCATATCTTTATAACGACAAAGTGAAATATTTCTTTAAGGCTCCATACACGACCAATATTGTTGGAATTTAAAGTGACCAATTATTTATATTAAAATAAATGTAAAACATAGATTATTATTTCAGTTGTCATATTTTTGTGATGTCCTTCACATCTCACACATATCCTTTCTTTTTTTTTTATTCTATTCATATTTGTTTTTCTTTTCATTCCTATATTGCTCTGAATCTCTGTTTTTCTATGACCCCACAAATTACTTAACAAAAATGCTTTTCTCTTAGGCTATAAGAAAATACACTTTTAAACTCTTGAGATGTACACTTGAAGTTACTGTGGACCAACTTTCTGTTGTGTATTGTGCATGGTTAACACTAAATAGTTAATTTTTTTCATTGCATACCTGACCATAGAGCAGTTGCTTTGAAGACAAATGTAAGAACTCACATTCATATAGAAACTCAACTAAAAACGCTGCATTCAAGCCCTTTAAATTTAAAAGTCCAACTCAATGGTTTTCCTCATCATGTTACACCTTGATCTGCCTTACAGTACTTCATGAAAAATCTTGACCCAAGTTGAGGTGCACCAGAAACATGGGAAATACTATTTTTGCTTTCCACCTGCTGCCGGCTAAATCCTTGTTCTTCATTGAGCCAAGTTTTATATAGCAGTCCCAACTAAAAAAAGTATTACAGCATGTCGGTAATGGTTGGTTTAAAGTAAATTGAAACCAGGGGCTGCCAATCGGTTTAGCAGTAGGTCAAATGTAAATGTAACTTATTAATGGCAAAACACTTCTATGGTCATTTTAAACAGTAGGCTATACACGTTTAGTTTCAACAACTTTTGTATCAGTATTCTCTTTAGTATCGTGCCTAATGGATACATAAAAAATCGAATTAAAAGGTAAAGCGTCAAAGCCCTTTGGCTTCACTTCATTGTCACCTATATTTAACCTACCAGTGTGCCAAATTAAAAAGAAAAGAAACGCCACAAACAAGTGTTTTTTTACCAAACAACATTCTGCTGTGCACTTAGAGAAAAACAGCCTTCACAAGTAGAACATGTGTTTTTTATTTGGTGTATTGATCTCTTTTCAGTTTAAAACCTCACAAAGTTACCTGACAACAGATGATCTCAGTGCCATATCAAAAACCTAATAGTGTTGAATTTTTGTTTATCTAAATATTAATTTGCTGGCTTGCATTCTAAGTTAGACACAGCATAATTGATTTCCCTAGAAACATCTATAGAGAAGGGTTTCTTGTTTCAGCTGTTTAATTTATTTGTGGTAAAATATGTAGATTCCACCTTTTAATATTTAGTCATGTAATCATAGTGTACAGGTAACATGTTTCTTAACACTTACAAAAGCAGCTATGTGAAGTCCTCTCAATACGAGTACATTTGTATCAAGTTAGTTCAACAGTCATTTAGCAGGTGGTATTACAGGAGAATTGTATCTTCTCGATCTTTAAGATAGTTAAGGCTGCAGCAATTGAAATGAATAGTGAATTGTTTGAACACTGACCTTAATCACTGTAAACCATTTTTTAAAGTTGTCTTTAATTTCATTGCTGTGTGAGTTCTTCTGAGGAATACAGTTCCAGTATCGCTCTCCTTGGGTCTCCACCAACTCTCCACTGTGCCGTTAAAACAAGAGGCGAAAAGCTCATGCTGCATAATTCTCACTGGGGTCGTATTTCTATCAAACAGTCCATTGTTACATGAAAAATATTGAATAGTGCAACGTTGAAAAGTATTATACATATATTTTAAAGGTGTGTACAGACCGAATGCGGTAGACTATTTGGCGAGGCACAATTACACAAGTGAATGCTAAGGGGCGAATAGATGGTAAATGCGCAGTACAACGTTTATTCTCGCCTGCAGGGGTAGAAATTATTAATTTACGAGAAATATATGCGTGAGGATGTTTCTAGAAAGCCTGAGAGTAGAGATGTTGCTGAATTGGAAGTGCAGGACGAGCTTATTGTCACCTGTTTTCCTGAGCTAAACCCAGACATATCAATTATTATCGGTGTACCTACTGCAGAACTTCCTCTAGGCTGTAGTTATTTCAGTCATGGGTGATGCCAAAACAAAATGTTGCATGTTATATGATAACTATGGAGGAAAGGAGTAGGCTACCCGTTTAGGAATTATAGGGGGAATATCTTTTAATCGGGCCATATTCATGCAATTAACAGAAGGGGAGAAAGTCGGTCCGAACTCACTTTAAAGGTCCCATGTCATGGCCATTTCTACTGATCATAATTCCATTGTTGAGGTCTACTAAAATAGATTTATATTGTTCAATTTTCCAAACTCACATTGGTTTCTTATACAGCATCTCTGTATAGTATGTGTATTCACTCTCTGTCCTAAACGGCTTGTTGGAGCTCCTGCCCCCCACTCTCTATGAGCCCAGTGGCCGTCTGCGAGACAGCGAAACCCAGCCCAAAACCAGCCCGAACACACACACCCGCAGCCTGTGTGTGTGCTCACACACCGACTCACAGCCTCGCCGCGAAATCGGCGGAGCTGCAGCTGAAAAAAGATTGAGTGTGTGTGTGAGCCATGTAACGGCTCCGCGGATTGGTCCATTTGGACCAATGGGTCCATTTGGGTATGGGCACGTCACCATACCCAGGAAGAAAACAATGGGAAAAGAGAAATCCCCAACGAGGCGTTCTGGGGCACCCCTACAGGGTGTACTTTGAGGGTTTGTGACTCTGCAGACCGTTTACATGCAGAAGAAGCTTCATAACACACAAGGGGACGGGTAATAACCGGAAAAGCATGACATGGGACCTTTAAGGTTGCCAAGTGTTGATTTAATTTAAGCCACTAATCTGGTGTGTAACTTTAAAAAATGTGAAAAAGAATGACTGATTCAAAGTAATTCATTAACTCAAGATTTCTAATGTGTCAAAACCTCTAGATTGTTTTTCCTAACTTTTTTGAGCCGATGCCTTTTATCGCGACAATCTTCTGAACCAAATTGTCAGCTTTTATCCGAGCCTTTCTTCTTACGTTGCTCATTTAATGTATATTTTCTCTATTTTTAATTTAAATTTGAACTTCCATTTACACTACATTGATTTTTCACTGCCTTGAATCACATGTTTCTCGCAGCATCTCTTCCATACGTCTAAAATGGTTTTGGAGTTCACTTTGAAAGTTTACACTGTTTGAAGAGTCATGTTGTGCCTGTTATTAACTCTTCTGTCTGTAAAGTTTGTGAGCTACTGAATATGTTCATGCATTATGGATTATAGATTACAAAGCAGAGGCAAAAAGAGACCAGAAGTTGTGATGATTTTGTGCCCGATTTATCAAAAACAATGAATCAATCCAAGTACCTCTAAGAGCTTTTATTTTTGGAAAATCCTCTGTGTGTGAATTCTCTCTGATGCCTGCGGTTTGTAGACGTTTCTTCAGTTCTCACTGCGTGTATCGATGCCTGTGTGTTTGTTGGGTTTGTTGCACCGTCAGCATGTTTGACATTATGAGAATGAAATGACCCGTGATGCGTTTAATGTTTCTGATGTCAGAGCTGCAAATAAATCTGTTTGTTTTAATCCAGTGTTTGTTTTTTTCCGGATGGAACTGCGTTGGTTTCCATTTGAGAACATAATACACATTTTAAAAGAGACACAAACGACACCAAATGTCACAGTGCATAGGAGTTTATTATAAGAAACTTCTCACCAAAAGAGAGAATGTGAAAAATAAATACCCGAGAACAGCAGAACCAGTAGAGTGTGAAGTGAAGTTACAAAAATAAGTCAATGAAATCTATTTATTTATACATATCTTTTTGTTTGGAGAATGTTAAACGCAAAGACATTTGAAACACTGAAGCACACATTCAAACAGCTGGGAAACTCTTTCATGTGATTAGTATTCCTGTTTCAACAACAAATCTAAATACACCAACAAATGTAAACATAACAGAGAATCCAAACTGTATCTGAATATTAGCTTATGAATATTAGCCTTGTGTGTTTAACATACACATCGTTCCAGCAGAGGACAGTAGGAACAGGGCTGGGTTCAATTTAATAACTCAATCAGTGAGTTATTTTCAAATTAAAGTACCTATTGGATGCTTGTCATTATTTTTGGATTGAAACCTCATTTCCTACTGATTTGAATTTCGCAACCCAGCCTCTGTCCGTACACGTGGTTTTCTTTTGAAAAGTTATTTCCTTTCAAAATAAGAGCATGCCAAACAATGAACAGAAAGCACACTTTGCATTAACACACATCTTGGATCCAAACCCTCTGTAGACATTACTTCTGAGAGCTAAAACGTCTCAGTTCCTTTCTTTTTTTTATTTGAGTCCGCGTTGAGTGACTTGAATAAAACACATTTAACAAAGACGCCAAGTGTGAAACAAAACCCCTTTTTGTATCATCTTCTTTGCTGATACAAAATATCTTATCCCTTAATCTTATCACCTGGACAGAAGCGTATGTAGGAGGCACATTAAGATACATCAATACAGCAGCAAACCCCCTAAAATACCGCACTAAAATCATACATTAAATTCTCTAAAAATTATGTTTGCCCCAGAAGCAATTGCAAATACAGAATATTCAATAATCTTGGTATCATAAAAACATTATAAACATACAAAATACGGTCAATATAAATAATTGTTGGTGAATCAAACAGCTAAGATCCCTCTCCTGCATTTCAACTTGTTTGGAATATTTTCTAATTTAGCAGATAAACACATGTTAAACTCAATGATAGAACATCCCTCCATATGAAAGAACCGTTAGCTTAGCTCTAAATTGTCAAATTTACGTGGTAACCAGTGATTCTTTTGAAATTGAAACTCACTTTTTCAATAAAAAATGAAATTAAAAAGAGGTTTTAAAGGAGTCCCCTTCCAAAGTGTCCGTTCAGGCCATAACGCCTATTGGCTGATATCGAGAAATTCACACTTCAATGTACTTCATGCTGTTTGAAGCTCAATTAAACAGCAACTCCAAGAACACAAATAAAAAAAAAAGGCATATTTATCCTTATCACGCCACTTGTAATATTTCCCTAATGTATGTCAGCATCTGTTCGCACCAAGCATCTGTACATGTATGCAAACAAGCAGATCATGCATTTATTTAATATTCTATGTAATAGACATTTTAGGTTCCACATGTCGAAGCAGGCATTTGACTTCAATGTTGACAGCTGTATTGACTGCCATTTGTTTTTAGGGTTTTTAATTGATAGCTGTAATTCCTAATAGTAACCACAAGAGGGCGACCAAAGAAATTAATTTGTAAATAATTCTAGAGAGAATACTGTTCACATTTCATTCAGTTCATTTGGTACAGTTGCACTTAATAAAATACATGCAAGGTGTCAATTGAACAGGCTCACCTTTTTAACTTTGTCTCTAATTATTTTCTATAATTTGTTACCATATCAGATCTTTTTTTCCGGGCATTTTCTAGAATACACATCAGAGATCAGTGATTATTTCAAAGTGTCAGAGGCAAAGACCGTGGTGGACTTTTAGCTTTGATCATATGCAGCATTTATCCATTTTCATGAGAAAGTGGTGTCGGCAGCTTTAGAAAATGTCACCGCACCCTGAGTGTCAGAGTAGAGATGTGCTGTTATTGGTTAATGTGTGAAGTGGGAGGGTTCAAACTTTGGTGACATTGTTTGTTGTTTGTTCCTCCGGTGGCTGATCCTCCTCTTCATCGTCCACGCTCAGGTCCAGCCTCAGGCTATCCAGAGTCTGACGGATGGTCAGAGTGTCCTTACGTCTGCAAGAGAGACACCACGTTTTAATTTGTGCTTTAATGTACTGACTTTGTGACGGACTGTAAATGATGCGTGCTTTTGATACAGAGGAAATCTGCATGGCTACGGAAGACCTGAGAGGCAAGTCGGAAAGGAACATTTGACTTTTTAATCAAAATGGTCTGTGTTTATGACAATATTTATACTTTGTGTTTGGAGTGCAGTGAACATTAAACTCTTCTAGAAGATAACAGGTTTTTAGTCATATTGAAAATGTGGGACAGTGGTGCAGCAAACAACAAAGTCTTGTATTTTAAAGATAACTTTTTTTAAGACCCTTTAAACTAAGGATTCTCCTGGTGAAAACATTGTTAAATCAGTTCTCATATCCCAAAAACAGGAGAGAAAACAATGTAGATCTGACTTATTGTTTAATATTCATGTTGTCCAAAAGAGGCTGAAGTGCATAACTAGTTACCCAGGAGACTAAAAACTGTAGAGTAGCGCCTAATTCATAGATAGACACTATTTTTACATATTTAAATTGATCCATTCACGTCTGTTTGTGTGTATGTTTCCGTGTGTGTGTGTATGTTTCCATGTGTGTGTGTGTGTGTGTGTGTGTGTGTGTGTGTGTGTGTGTGTGTGTGTGTGTGTGTGTGTGTGTGTGTGTGTGTGTCAGAGTGCGTACTTGTTCTGCAGGCTTTGGTCCAGCGCCTGCCTCTGCAGCCGGCTGCTGGTCTCCCTCTCCTCCAGCAGCTCTCTCTGGGTGTGGCGGTACTGCCCCTCCCTCCGGCTCGCCTCCTCCTCCGCCTCGTTCAGCTGCCGCTTCAGAGAGCGCATCCTCTGGGTCATCTGGGGACCAATCACAGAGCTCGCTCAGTTTGGGCACATGGGGCGGGACCAACATGTTAACAACTGGGACATGAAGACAGCTCTAGGTTGTTTCAATGTGTTTAAAGAATATTTCAAACGCTATTGATTGCTGCTGTTCATTGTCATACACTGTATGTATTCATACATTTGAACATTTTTCGGACGGTAAGATTATTAAGTAACAATGTGTACTGTGTGCGTGTACGTGTGCGTGTGCGTGTGTGTGTGTGCGTGTGCGTGTGCGTGTGTGTGCGTGTGTGTGTGTGTGTGTTTGTTACCAGGTCTTTCTGCTCATTAGCTATCCTGTGCTCCTCCTCCATCTGGTCGCTGAGCTCGTTGATCCTCCTCTCCAGTTTGCTGATGGTGTTGGTCAGAACAGACTTGTTCCTGCACACACATGAACACAATGTATTGATTTATTTTGTTACACCATTTCTACAGGTAACATACAATAGGGAAGCTAAAGCTGCATGTTTCATGTAAAGCACTTGCCTGATGCTTTATGAATAAAATGACCCTGCTTAAACGTCTTTTTAATTCTCTGTTAAACGAAAGATAATATCAGGTTGTTTTTACAAAATCCTTGGCGAAAAATGGGTGAACTTGTGCTGAACTTCTTTCATATGCTTGTCCACTTATTGTGTTACTTCGCCTTCTATCTGTTCTGTGCTATCTTAATGTAGAATTATTATAAAGGTGATTTCCAAATGATTTCCGAAGCTCTAAACCACAGGTGTGAAAGTGACCTTATAATAAATAGAACAGCTTTTTAATAAACGCCTGTTCAAACATTGATACAGAATAATGTGCTGACGGACCTCTCCTCGTTCCTCAGCGTGTTCTCCATCTCCTTGACTCGGCTCTCCGCTCTGGAGACCACATCCTCCTGAACCCTGGAGCTCTGGAGCTCCTCCACCTCCAGACGCAGCTCCCGCAGCTACACCCACACAGAGAGAAGCTTCCATTAGATACGATACAACCTTTCTGCTTCACTTCAACGTTCAAGGTTCTTTATCGTCAAGCTAACTTAGCTACAGAGTAATTATGTCGTTGAAAATCTTAGGTCACAGGCCTCTCCAACAATGCAACACAATAATACAGATAAGCAGACAATATTAAAATATACTATATTAAAAGTAATACAAAAAGAAAAATAGTTTTAAAAAAGTGAGAAAAAAAAAGTGGAATAGTGCAATACGAGTCTATATACAAATTATTGGAATGATATATTAGATAAGAGATAGATAATTAATAAGTAGCAGATTTCAGGTTTCAGCAGTTCAGGTGTTTAACAGTCTTATTGCCTGTGGGATGAAGCTGTCTCTGAATCTGTTTGTTTTTATCCGGATGCTGTGGTAACGTCTGCTAGAAGGCAGCAGACTGAACAGTTTGTGGCTGGGGTGATGGGGGTCTTTTGTAATCCTGAGGGATTTCTTCCTTACTTTCATTCTTCTTCATTTACATTATTTACGTAGCCTACTTAAATGAACAGGCTTTTTCAAACCATGTTCTTGTCAGTCCATTAGCAGCTTAGCACAGATATACCTGAGTTCACTGTATATCAGCCAACAACAACAAGTATCAGTATAGAGACGAATTCCTTCAAATCAGTCTTGCCATTACACCGTCTCTCCACCAGAGGGCACTGACAAATCCTTTATTTATTTATTTGTTAAGCTTAAAAAATCGATACTGTTTAATAAAACAGTTTTTTCCCCTAATTTTAAATATCAGTATATCCAAATGTGATAGAGAGATAAATACTTAATTGTGCTGTAAAGCTGTGAGGAATGCTATTACCTTTTTAATTTCTAAGTTTATATTTGGCTTTCGGATATATATATATTTTCAACAACAAAAAACTTGCAAAATATACAGTATATAAAATAAAAACCCTGTGAGTATTTGAATGTATAAGTGGTGCTTTATCTATTCGTTACAGCCATACTGTGTTAAACATAGACTCGTAGAACAAGTGGACACACACACACACACACACACACACACACACACACACACACACACACACACACACACACACACACACACACACACACACACACACACACACACACACATTACCTGTCTCTCGGCGGAACCCTTCTCCATCTCCAACAGGTCGTTGAGGTCTTTCTCCTGAATCAGCTTCAGCTGCAGCTGCTCAGTCTGACAGCAAACACACACACTTCTTAAAAACCAGCCATAAGAGTTTTCAAGGTCTAGTTAATGACAGAATATGTTCAGTTAGCTCACTTCCTGTTCGCGTGTGTTTACCTGTTCGATGGCTCTCTTGTGTTTGGCCGCCCACCTCTGCTCGCTGTCGTGCAGCTCCTCCAGATCGGTCTCCAGGTCGATCATCTTCTCCTGTAAACACAATCATCATAAATAAAAAGTCCTGGTCCAAACTAAACTTCTGATCTGTGGTCTCATCAGCAGAAAACATGCAGGTTATTTCGAAAGTGGCACGGATTAAGTATCCTCAGAAATAGCCACATTATGAATATTTAGGATTATGGCATTAGCACGCTGATTGCTAAACAGGATTTGCATGAATAATTCCTCATTAACCCTAAAACTCTGATGGTTTGCATGACTGATTAATTCAAGTGTACATCTCTCTTTGAGTCGTTAGGTCGCGTAATGCAGACACATGGATGCTGTCGGATCCATAGCTGGAAACAGAGTGTACTTCAAGGAGGTCAGGAAATATGAGCTTCTTTTTTGTATTCATCACACACAAAAAAAAAGTTTTTCTCCTATAAATACTTGTTCCCCCTTGTTATGAGTCTAAAATCAAATTCATATTTTATTGTGTTGATGCTTCTCACATATTGATTTATTGTAATGTTAAACGGATACACCTTGTTATATTCTACTTTCAGTCTTTAGAAGGAACCAATGGACTGAGAGCAGCAAGCAGAACACCACATTAGTTTTGGGCTGCCTCAGAAATATTTCTTTTAGTGTTGTTTGTATTTTTTGTGATATTACTTATCAATGTGTATAGTAAACTTGAAGTATCCCACAATGTATTGTGAAAAGAAATTGACCATACAGTCACCAACCAAACATATATACCAGCATGCATTGTGCTGAGGGAAAGATGGCGGAGACACAATTCATTTTAGAAAATACTGCACTACACTTAGCATGATATTATGTATCACAGAAAATGCAGGATTTTTTAAATTAATGGTCCACCAACACATTTTGATTTAATTGTTACCAGCCTTATCTTTTATATCAGTCATTCATTTGATATAAACATGTACTTACTGCCTACAGAAATCTAGGGCCAAACACCTGAAACTTGATCCTTATAAAACCCTCCTTTTTCTGGTGAAATTGTTTCATAATCTTAAATTGTGTATGGTCATTGAACGTGAGTGTATCTGAAGATGTGGAGCCGTACCTGGGACTGTTTGACATGTTTGACCAGGTCGTCTTTGGCCTGGTTGGTGGTCTGCAGCTCCATCTTCAGGTCCTCCAACGCCCTCTCCGCCTGCTTACACTGCAGCTGGATCTTCTCTCTCAGCTGGATCTCCTCCTCCAGAGTCTGCTCCCTATCAATCAGCTTTCCAGAGACCTGCACACACACACACACACACACACACACACACACACACACACACACACACACACACACACACACACACACACACACACACACACACACACACACACACACACACACACACACACACACACACGTTAAAACACAAACAGGTCATGATGAGGCTCCATCCCAGCTATTATTAAAAGAGATACACGCAGGTGAACAGGGGGGCAGATAGAACCAGGAAACTATTAGGGCAATTTGTTGTATTACCTTTTATTATTATCTTATCAAATGTGCTGATTTTCAATACGTTATTCTGTCGATGATTTAGATTCAACGGGTGTTTAAAAGGGAAATATGGATATTTTTTTGTAACTCTCTGTTGGGAAAATACTGAATCTACTCTTCCAATATCAGAATAATCTGATATTGGAGCTAATCTGAAGTAAACATTGAATACTGCTTTCTATTCCTCCATCTTGTGACTGTGTAACTCCCTCTCTTGGATATCAGCATGTGAAGGACACTGTTCAGGAACTAGTTGATGCTCTGTATGTGATGACTACTTCCATTCTGGAGAGGATCACAGATACATGGATCCTGATGTTGAAGCTCAAGCCGGTGACGAGTGATATTTATATAACACACTCCGTGAATCAGAAATGACGGTTAAGTTGGTGTAAAACCATGGTTGTATTGATCAGTGTTTGCTCACCTCTCCCTGCAGGCGGCCCACGAGGCTCTGCAGTCTCTGATGCTCCTGCTCCTTCTCCAGCAGCTCCTCCTCCAGCTCGTCCACCCTCTGCTGCTCGTCCACACGCAGCTTCTGATGGAGGCTCAGCTCGACTGAAGCCTGCGTGGACACCAGCAGGGCCTCCGCCAGCTGGGAACACACACACACACATACACGTTAAGGTACATACACACATCAGTGCTTACATGGCTTTACCAGATCAACTCTAAATAAACACTTAGGAAAATCCTCTCTATAGGAGAGGAGTGATGTGATATTTAGGAATGATATTGTGTCTTTCTCTCTGGTAAACAGAGGTAGTATTCACCTAACCAAGTCTCTTTTAAACATCTCCTATTAGTTCATTGACATTTATTGAAATGTCTCTACGTTTGTATTCGGAGCAGAGCAAGTCTTCTATTCAAATATTCAGTTTGTAGTCGAGTTTCCTCTAATGGTGGGGGCAAAGTGTCTCTGTACCTCTGTCTCCATCCTGAAGAGGTTGCTGTTGAGTTCGGTTGTCCTCTTGTCTCTGGTCTCTTTGTCCACCTCCAGCTCCTCCAGTCGTCTCTCTGTCACCCACAACTTATCAGACAGAGACTGGGCGTGCTGCGTCTGCTTCTCCAGGTTTTCCTGAACACAACACACAGAGCATTGTCGTTTGGTACTCTCACAATGTACTTAGATGATCATTTGTTTGTGAAATATTGCTATCATGAGTTAGCTAGCTAGCTATTGTGGGTAATGTTTATTCTGCTAGACGAGACATGTAGTTCACTTAGCGTTTTCACATAAAACTAAATGGTACTAAGTAGGGTTGCCAGAAACTGACCATGATCAAAATCGATTATTCGGCAGCCCTGGCGAATAATAATCGATTATTCGACCGACCGACCTATATTTTGGTTGAAATGAAGCCCAAAAAAAAAAAAAATACATAAATGATAATAAAAATATATATAAATAAAATCGATTTTTAAAAATAATATTCGATTATGGAGACTGTAACGAATATTCGAATAATCACTGGCATCCCTAGTAGGCCTACTAAGCAAATAAATTACATTACAATACAATTCATTTAGCTATCTCTGGCGACTTGTGGCACGCCATTGCTACTGGCGTCAAAAAAGCCAAACACTTTTTTACCGCTACATAGCTAGCTAGCTAGTTAGCTACATTGAAAGTAATCTGTTAAAGTGAAAACATGTGTAATTTAAAGCTAATT